CTTTCCCTCTCCCCTGATTATTGTTTCTCCACAGCAGACATCACCTTCTTACATAATACACACTTTCCTCATTTAATGTGTTTCTCTCCCCTGCTAGAATGTAAGCTTCATCCTAGTTTGAATCTGTTTGTTTACTTCTGCATCCCCAGAGCCTAGGATAAGGCCTGGCCAATGGAAGACACCCAATAAGCATTTGTTGAAAGAAAGTAAGAAGAATTACACTAATAGAAAGTGTTCAATAAATATTTGTTAAATGGAATGAAAACTGTCAGGAACAGAGGACTGAACTTTCCAAATTCTAAAAAAATATGTTGGCTTGGGAGAACTGTGAAACTGAGTGAAAGCTGCCTCATTATAAACATCCTTGAGAAAGAACTAAAATCGTGTATTGGTGGCGGGAGGGGCAACTGAGCTAGGCCGTGTGGGCCTTGCGGAGGCATTAGGGGCTGCCTTACTTCCCCATTTGGATACAGTCTGTCACGCAGGTGTTTCCCTGAAGTTACCTCCTCAGCTTGTGAAGCACGCAGAACTCTTGAGCGGCTTACCTGACACTTCTCAGGTGTAACTAGGAAACTACCACGAGTAAAAATGACAAAAAAAAAAACCCCAAAAAATCATCACCCACGACTAGATTTGGGGTCCTGGGGAAGCAGAGCCCATTGCAGAACAGTGCAGAGGGGACCCTTCCGTCTTCTCCCAAGGCTCTGCCTTGACGCTGTTGATCGGAAATGCTCCTCCGCCTCACTCCTTTGCAGCCGCCTCCTTTCTCAGGAGGGCGCGCTCCTGATCTCCGCCTTCCCTCCTCTCTCCTGAACCCATAGTATTTTTTTTTCTTTCTCACGCTTCGTTGCTGCTACTACCGCCCACGCTGGCCGTCTCTTTATTGTGCCTTGACTGTAAACAAAACATGTTAGCTCGTAGCAAGGTCGATGTAGGCACAGTTTCTCTGCTGCCAGCCAGACGTCTTAAGGTGGTGTTGACTATGACTCGTTTATTCCTCAAGATTAACAAAACAACAACAGGGTGCTGCTCCTAGGGATTAACTGAAGGAAGGTTCATTATGTATGGAGGATAGAAGCATTGCTTTTCTACTTTTCTGTAGGACATGGAGTCCAAAAATAAAATGAAACTCTGTGGCAAGGTGTACTCCTCTGGAGTATCTCCATTTACATATTTGTGGGAGTGTGTGTATTAGTGCATGTGAATATATGCTAACATATCATATGGAATTCCTGTAGAGCCCAGCAACTATTTTAAAATTTCGACCACAATGATCTAATTTCAGGGATGGGGTATAAATTATGGCACCGAGGCCTACCCGAACTGGGCTGTCCCCTCTCTTCCTCTTCTCCAGTCCAATAAAACTGGGGCATGAAATAAAGACAAATGAAGATGAGGTCACCTACTTTGATCTCAGGTGCAATATTTTCTGTCAGGAAAGAAGTCCTGACCTGAAGCAAGTATTGGGCACTGCCTCCCTCACTGCTCCCTGGGTAGGGTATCACCCCGCTCCTTTGGGAATCTGCATTTTAGTTGAACTAGTGACTAGTGATACCAAAGGCCAGCGACAGCTACATTTAAATATCAGTGACCACAGGCCACATCAAGGAAACAACAGCCGGCAGGGCAGCCCCGGGCGTGTGAAGGAGCCATTCTGAATTACTTGTAAGAGAGAAGGACCTGCAGATTACAGCACAGGCAAGTGCAGACAAAAACACTGAACCAGCTGGGCCATCAGGTAGGAAAGGAAGAAAACGAACCAGCTTGGGAGAGGAGACCTCTTTGCAATCCTGTCTCTGCTGCCCACTGGACATGTGTCCCTGGATAGGAATCCTCCGCCTGTCCATTTCCTCAGTGGTAAAGAGACGGGGGTGAACCATAGGGGTGCCAAGGCCTCTCTGAGCTCTAACCCTGTGGTGTGTATGAGGTGAAGCAGGCACAGAGTGAACGAACAATAATGTGGTTAAGAAAGGTTAAAAATCATACCGAAACCGGTTTGGCTCAGTGGATAGAGTGTCGGCCTGCGGACTGAAGGGTCCTGGGTTCGATTCCAGTCAAGGGCATGTGCCTTGGGAGATGTGCAGGAGGCAACTGATCGATGTTTCTCTCTCATCGGTGTTTCTGACTCTCTATCCCTCTCCCTTCCTGTCTGTAAAAAATCAATAAAATATATTTTTTTAAAAAATCAAACTCACCTGGAGCATAGATGCCTAAGAAAACATCGCTGCTGTGGACTATTAGAATCGAAGGAGATTAGTTTCCAGTAAAATATATTAATTTGGGCTCAAACCAAGATTATATGTCTGGGGGTGGGGGTGGGATAGCAATTGAAGACCCACTGAGATCTGAGATGTAACAGCTGTGCCCTTGCTGTTTTACCTTCTACCACTCTGCTCAAGACCATACTGATGGGTAAGTTTCAGGTTGCCAAGGGGAGCAGAGAAATGCCCGAGCAATATCAGTTCTAAAGACATGGTTGTGGTGGTTTTGGAAATCATTGCAGAGCCTGGACTTTCAGATTATGAAAGTCCAACAGCATTCACTTGGCACCTGCCTGTTGTTCTGGGTGGGAGAAGGAAGGAGCTGTTGTAGTTGGTGGCGGGACTCAGGTAGAGGAAACTACCACCACCGGGGAAAGAACTGAAAAAATAGAGACGAGTTCCTACACGCAGCCCACGTCCATGGCTTTAACCGTGTTTGGGAGGCACAAACCTGGGCCAGGGGGTGTAACCTCGCTTTTGAACACTAAAGGTGTTTGAGACAGCTACAGAGTTTATTAGGGACTCAGGAGACCAGTTTGAGTTTTAGATCTTGAAATCTTATTTCTATTGAGAGCTTGGGTTCAGAATATACACGCTATTATAAATGTCACGCCTACTACAGGCTAATTTGCAGAAAGATGTTCGCCTTGGCATCTTCCCTAAGCCCCCTGTCTCCCCTAGAAGAGCTGAGACTTCTAGGCTAAGGGTGAACTAAACACTGCTCACTCACAGCTAAGGCTGCCAGACCCTCAAGCCCAGGATTTCCCCGCCTCCCCCGTAGTGCTAGAAGCTGGGGCAGCAGGTAAGAGCCCAGCTGCGGGCGGGGCCCCCAACGTC